TCCTCCCTGGGGAGGTGGTTTCAGAAAATACACGTGGAAACTAACAGTCACTAACGCCGCAAAAGCAGATTGTAGCTGCTGATAGGTGCGGCCTGGGGAAAAACACAACAGAGACCGCGGGCTGGGATGCGAGGGGATACGGGGTGGTGCAGCAGAGCCCCCCACGTCCCAGTGGTGCTGATCCCCACTGCCCATCACCACCTCCCAGCACCCCACCGACTCTGCCCAGCCTTGCTTCTTGTGCCTGGAGAAAATCCAGAGAGCCCAGCAAGTACCTAGTGTAATTTTTTTATTATTATTTTTGACCCCAGCTGCAGAGGACTTTCTGAGCATCTTACTTGCTCTGCCCTTTTGGGGTTTTGCCTTTCAGGTTGCCGGGAAATCGTGAGGTACGTGCAATGTGCAGATAAGGAGGCAGATAGTGCTTTGGGTTTATCTTGGTTTTAAACTCTGGGTTTTCAAAGGCCAAGGTTGGGGAGCGGTGGGGGGGTTGGAAGAGCTCACTCAACTCGAGCAGCCCAGCCCTGATAGTAATCTCAGGCAGAGGAGTTTGGTGTGAAATCAGCTTTTCAGCAAGGGCCGGTCCCCGTGCAGAGGCAGTCACAATGCTGGGGCCAAAGGACACGGGAAATGAGTCAGGCCGCACACGGCGGGGGATGCCAGGAAGGGGGAAAGTTCAGCCCGGGACGGCTGAGAGAGGATGAAACGCCAGGGAACGAACTGCCTGAACAGCGCAGCATGGGTACCGCAAAACCCCTTCCCCCGGCTGATGAGGAGAGGAATCGTCATCCCGAAGGAAAGCTTTTCGCCTTTGGGATCAGCTCTGCCACCTGCGCCCTGAGCATCTCACCCACCAGTTTGGGTTGACAGCCTTTCCCTTTGGGGCTGCTTTCCCTCTTATGGGGCGGGATGTAGGGTGACCCGCATCCGACTGCCCGGCACTGGCAACCGGGAAAGGGGGAGCTGCTCCGGCACAGCTGCCAACCAGGAGCAGAGCATGGACTCCAAAATCCAGGGAGGACTTCAAAACCCTGGAGATCTACATCAAAGCCACACGATGCCGTTCATTTCGCTGGGTTCCCAGTTTAGGTGGGCGAGGGTGAGAAGGGCTGGTCCGAGCCTGGCAATGCAGCTGCAGCTTCTTCCAGCAACACCTGCAGCGTGTTCACCATTGCTCTCGCATGATTAACACGGCTGAAATCGGGGCTTCGCCATGACCTTCCCGGTGAAATCTCCCTCGGACAAGGGTGGTGGCATCTCTTCTGTCTTATTTCTATACATTTGCATCTTCTGACAGCAGGAAATGGGTCCATCCCCGCAGCCTCAGGGCGGCCGGGTACCAGGCGATGCTTCAGAAGCTGCATCCCACAGTGAGCACCTTTGGGGGTGAGATGCCGATGCCCACGGGGTTTTCCAGCCTTGGACATAGAAAAAAAAAAAAGAAAAAAAAAAAAAAAACCGAAACAAAACCCAACCTCCACTGCTTTTTGGGGAAGGTGATGACATCTTGGCAGGAGCCAGCCAGGCTCTGCGGGGGTGTGGGTGGCAGGAGATGGGGCGGGGGGGACATGGGGAGCCACCTCTTCCTGGGGACAGGCGAGGGTGGACCCATCTCAATATAAACCATCTCGGCAAGCAGCTGGGGAACTCCCGGGTGGCCAGGGCCTGGCAAGGATATTAAAAAAGGAAAGAGCACACGTAGGGTGTGAGTTTAGTGGTTATCTCACCCGTCAACCCCGGCAAGGTAATGGAAAAGCTGATCCGACCCAGACGGAGATTTAAAAGGGAGAAGAATAAATCAAACAAATCCTTTACAGACAACAGACCTGACCTGGCAAAGTGGCTTTTGATCACGTTCCTGACTTCGGCTGCCCCAGCCGCAGCAGCCGTTCCATCCCACGGGCGCTGCACTTAGATCTTCCTCCCCCCCGGGGTTATCGATCGGCTGAAACGAGGAGAAGCGCCGCAACATCAATAAAGCATCTGCAAACACAGCTGGAATAGCAGCTCTCACCCAGGGGCGAGAAGCGTTTCCGGGGGGGGCTGTGCCATCGAGCGGGTGTCCCGGCGTGCCCGGCAGCTCTCTCAGGCAGCCCCGGCAACGCCGCACTCAGCGAGATGAGGCTGGGGCTGGTTCTGAGCACGGAGGGTGATTAAACACCACCACGCTCCCGGCAAAGGCGGTGGTTTCCTCAGGAACCGCTTGAGCTTTCTGTTCAGGGATGCAGAGAGGCCCCGGGGAGCATCGCCCCCGTGGGGCGGCCGTGGGGTGCACCAGGTGTGGTGGGAGGGATGTAGGGATGGGGCAGCATTTCCTGGGGTCCCCCCCACCTGTATCCCCCGCATTTCCCAGAAGGATTTCCCCAGCCATGGGATTTCCCGGCAAACATGAGTGATAAAAGCCAGGGAGGGCAGAGCCCCAGGACCCCACGCCACAGCCCTGGGAGAGGGGACAGGCAGAGATGGAGGCTGGTGGCCTGTCCCCAGCAGTTCTGCTCCTCACCAGGGTCTAGAGCCAAGCCTGGAGCCAGAGCTGTGAGTGCCGACGAGGAGCCGGCATGACACGGTGGAACAAAGGGAGGAAAAGGGTGGTTTTCATCCCAGACCACATGTGGGACCAGGCGACTCATCACAGCAGTGGGTCTGCCCACGTCCCATGCCCTTCTCTGCATCAAACATGGGAAAACTGATGAACTGGAAGGGGATGAAGACCAGGTTCTCCTAAATTCATCAAATTGCACCTCTCCTATGAGGGTAGACTGAGAGAGTTGGGGGTGTTCAGCCTGGAGAAGAGAAGGCTCCAGGGGCACCTTATCGCGGTCTTCCAGTGCCTAAAGGGGCTCCAGGAGAGCTGGGGAGGGACTTTTTACTGGGGCATGTGGTGACAGAACGAGGGGTAATGGCTTCAAACTGGAAGAGGGAAGATTTAGATTAAATATTAGGAAGAAATTCTTTACTCTGAGGGTGGTGAGCCCCTGGCGCAGGTTGCCCAGAGAAGCTGTGGCTGCCCCATCCCTGGAGGTGTTCAAGGCCAGGTTGGACGGGGCTTGGAGCAACCTGGGCTGGTGGGAGGTGTCCCTGCCCAGGGCAGGGGGGTTGGAACTGGGTGATCTTCAAGGTCCCTTCCAACCTAAACCATTCTATGGTTCTATGATTGAGAGCCGCAGGAGCACCTGGTTTTGCCTCTGGCCCCTCTCAGCTCCCACAGACATCCCCTGCTCCAGTGCCGGGTCTGTAAAAAACCCAGTAAGGCCCCATCCTGGCCGATGCAGGGAGGGGAAAGGGGGATATTCTTCCTGAGATGCAGGTGAGACCCGGGGATCTGGGAGTGCTCAGGAGCTGCCAGCTCCAGGTGCCCAACGAGGGCTGAAAATCCCCCGTGCTCCAAAATCCCCTATCCACAGGGTCCGCTCATCCCACGGAGAAGACACCAGTGCCTGGGCTCGGGACAGAGAGATGTTGCAGGTGCCGGGAACGTCATCCCTGGAATTCCCCGGCCTGATGCATCCCAGAGTTTTGCATGGGAGTCTTTAAAAGCCGCCTTTCCCAGTCCAATGAATTCTCTTTTGTTTTCCTTGTGTTTGCGTTTCATTTTCTTATTGCAGGGAATATTTTCTACCCTTAGGAAGTCACTTTTACCCCAGCTGGGCCAGGACATCTTCGATGCGTGGGCGTAAGAAGGGGGATAAAGGGAAAGGATGGAGCCGGGAAAGGAAAGGCGAGCCAGGCAGCTGTGCCGGACCAGGACCAGAGGCGTCCGCTTTCCTCCACTTCCCGGGGTCTCCCCCAAGAGGGATGAAATGGGAGTTGGGGTGATGACGGGAAGGTGCTCTGCTCCACCAGTCGGGCACAGAAACACAACTTCCTCCCTTGTCCGCACCCACCAGCCCTGGGGCATCACCCAGCCCCACTTGCTGCTCCCTGTTATTCATTCCACACGTGTGCTCCAAAAAAAATTGGCTGATTTCTGGGAAATGGCTTTGGAGAAGAGCAAATGGAGGGACACGTGTGGTCCTACCGTGAAGGTGGCCTCCATTCCCATCGGGGCAGGTCCCTGCCCAGTCCAGCACCCCATGTTCTCCCCGGTTGGATCTCCGTGGTGGGGCTGCACTGCAGCCCAGGGTGGCCGAAACACCAGCAGGGTGCCACCAGTGTCCCCAGCCCCGCGCGGCGGGACGTGGCTGCCTGCGCAGCTGGGCTGGCGGGGACGCACGTCTGCATCTCCTCGCTGCTTCCCACCATCCGCCAGCTGCCGGCAGCTGGGATGCGCCCCGGGATTCGCTGAGGCAGGGGGGAGAGGGGGCTTTTTGGACAGCTGCAGCCAGGCAAAATCCACCGGGGAAGCCCCAAACTGGCCTCTGCCTTTCCCAGCTCAGCGCAGCCAAGAACACGAGCTGCTGCTTCGGTGCCAGCGGGAGAGAAGCCGAGGCACACGCCCGGCCTTTTCTTTTTTTTTAGGAGGGAGGGGTTATTTGGCCATTTGTCTCCTGGGCCGGGATGCAAAGCGATAGGATGCAACACTTTGCGGTGCAGGGGGAGGACATCGACAGCCCGGAGTGTGTGCGGCTGCTGGGGACCCTGCCGGGTGCTGACCCTGGCCCTGGTCCCATCCGAGGGAGATGCCCAGACCTTCTTGCCCACCCTGAAATTCCTGCCATGGGGCATGCAGCCTGCCCCGAGGACGGGGGCGCAGAGCCAAGATTTGGGAGCAACCGGCCCTAACGCTGGAGGCAGGAGCTCAGGAAAAATCTCAAGCCCATCACGGAGTGGGAGGGGGGGAGCAGAATTTTTCCCTTCCGGGGGCTGTGCTGGGAGGGGGTGAGTATTGCTCACCCTCTGTGCTTTGGGACGTGGCAGGGGACCTGGTCCTCCCCCTGCTCACGCAACCGCTAGCCCTGGGGGAAGCCAACCCCGCTGGTCCCCCATAAAAGCAGCCCAGTGGCCCCAGCAGACAGCAGCTCTGCCCCAGCGTGACCGAGCAGCCCTCCCGCAGCCCCGGCATGGCGAAGGCAGCCGGAATGCTCTGCATCCTCCTCCTCCTCCTCGCCGTGCTGTGCTGCCAGAGCCTGGCTCAGAGTGAGCACTGACGCCCGCTCCGTCCCCTTGGGCTGGGGGACGGGGACAGCCCCCAGGGCTCACTTCGTGCACGGCGTGCGGAGGGGGGGCCTCCCCCCAAAGAGCCGCCGTGCCCATGGCGGGAGGGCTGAGATGGGAAGTGGCTGTCTCCAGGCTAAGCTGAGCTTCAACTGTTTCCCCAGGAGCCCCGGCCGTGCCAGAGAAGTGCTGCTTCAACTTCCAGACGAGAAGGATCAAGAGAGACAACATTGTCACCTGCTACCCCACCAGCCCCGAGTGCCCGCACCAGGCTGTGATGTGAGTATCCGAAACCCGGCACTGGGGGTAAAGCACCTCTAGACCCTGCCAGACCCCATGTCTTGCTTTGATGGGTCCAGTCCTGATCCTCTGTGCCCCTGAACCCCTCAGAAACTCGGGGTCCCCATACCACCACCCCACTAACCCCCATCTTTTCTCTGCCCCAGCTTCAGGGTGAGGAGCGGGAAGGAGATCTGCGCCCAGGCGAGCAGGGCCTGGGTGAAGAGGTACCAGCAGAGCTTCCAAGTCAGCTCCTTCTCCATCCCCAGCTAGCGGGGCGGCGCAGGGAGTCCCCTCCACGGGGGACAGGATACCACGAAGGTGACCCCTTTGCGGAGACGGCTGCGGGGACACCGCGTTTGGCTATAGCAGCTCATCAGGGACACCCTCCCCGTGGCGCTGTGATGACCCTCACCACCTCCCTGAAGGCAAAGGGCCTTTGCCATCCCCAGCATCCCACCGGGATGGGGTGTACCCACCCAGTGGGGTGCTGGGGTCCAGACCCGCTGCCGGCCCCCCCGTGCTCTCAGCCCCGCTCGGCGCGCAGGCAGCTGCCCGTCCCCCTCGCAGGCAGCGGCAGCGTGTGGGTGAGGTTGCGCTCGCCGGGCTGACAGCAGCAGAGGGGTTAAGGGGGAGCAGCTCTGTGGTTATTTTTTGTACAGCACACTGAACAGAATTAAACGTGGCCTCACGCATCCAAAGGTCTGGGTGTGCAAGTGTCTTGGGAGCAGGTAGATCCTGCTGCCGGCTTTCCGACCTGGGTACTAAACCACATCCGTAAGTGTTGGGGTCAGGGAGGAGCTGGGAAGAGCCGAAGCCCCAACCATGTCTCTGTGAGAGAGTCTGGGGGGTGCACGTGGTCAAACCATGTCTGTGGGGGCTTTGGGGAAGCCACCAGTGAGAGGGGCGAGAGGCAGGCACAGCCCCAAAGGAGGGGGCTTCCCATGCTCCTCGTCAGCCATCCTGACGAGTGGAGAGCCCTGGCCCAAATTCCATCGGAGCTGCCCCTCGCGGATGGCTGGTCGGGCCCCACTGACTGCCCACGCTCCTGGGATGCCATGAGGAGACGTGATGGGCGCTGCTGCTGTGACAGGCACCGCGATGGGCACGGCCACCTGATGGGCAACCAACAATGGGTCTCGGGGTGGGCTAGGGCGAGCCCAGCTGCTGCCGAGCCGCTCACCCCGGTGCTAAATTGCAAGAGAGGCATTGCAGCCACGCTGACAATGGTGGGTTTTGAAAAAAAAAAAGACTCGCCAAGGGCTTCGGCAAGGCCGAGCATCATCCTTTGTGGTTTGCTGGTGTCAACAACCAAACCTAAAATAGACTGCATCACCAGCGACGCAGAGCTGCCAGCTGCTCACCACACTTTCCAGCAGCCCTCAGGTACCACGGGGGCCAGAGGGGCCGGGAGAAGGAATTTCCACTCACTGGTTGCCCTTTATCAGTATCTCCGGGTGGTTCTTTCCCCGGGGAGAGTCCAGAGCTGTCATGGAAAGCCTGGCCGGGGGGTATATCACGCCGGGGTGCTGGCAGGAGAAGAAGGTAGCTCTTGGTGGCCCTGAGACATCAAGAGCTGCCAGCTGCTGGTGCCCACCAAGCCCCGGGTTGGACATGAAGGTCTTCTCCTCGGCTCTGCTCACTCTGCTGCTGGCAGCTCTCTGAACAGGAAGCCAGAGTGTCTCCTGTGAGTACCGACATGGAGCTTTCCCCACAGATGTCCCAGCTCCATCCCCGGCTCCACCACTGACGGGCTTTGGGGGGGTCGGGGAGTGGGATGAGAGCTTCAACTCCTGCTGCTGCCGTGGGTTTGGTGGGGTGGGGGGGGCTGAGGGGCAGCACCGGCTGCCCAAGCATGGGGCCGTCCTGTTGTTGTTCAAAAGGAGCAAAAATAGGTTTGGGGATGGCTCCGGCCCCAGCACCCCAGCTGGGGAGCTCAGTAATAAACCCCAGCGGGCAGGGAGACGGGGGGGGGTCCCACCCCGGGGCAAAGCAGCACTGCCGGGGATGCGAGAGGCGACCCCTGGTCGGAGGGAGCAGGAGAGTCCCTGGGGGAGCACCCGCTCCCCTCGTGCCAGGCGTGGGAGAGCACCAACCCCTCTCACCCCCTCCTCAGTCCGCAGTCCCTACGGCGCGTGCTGCTACAAGGAGATGTTCATCCGGCAGAAAATCCCTGACTTTCTCATCAGGAGCTACCAGAATACGCCTTCCCACTGCTCCCGCAGGGCTGTGCGGTGAGTACCCCCACTCAGCCTTCCTCCCCGGCACCCCGCTCCTCACCCTCGCCCTCCCACCTTCCCTGCCGGTGGCTCTGCCTTTGGGGGATAACCCAAAACGAGCCACCCCGAAGGGTGCGTGGGTGGGGGTGCCCTGCCCTGGCTCTCTGACGCACACATACACACGCACACCCCGCTTCAAGCTTTATCCCAAATGGACCCCAAATCCCCCATTTCAGCTGCCAGACAGAAAAAAAAAAAAAAAACAACCCCCAAAAAAACCCACCAAAAAACAAACAAACAAACAAAAAAAAAAAAACCAAACAGGAAGGAAACCAAGGTTTCAGAGATCGCTAAAAGTCAGCACTTTGGGGGGATGTGGGGGGCAGGATGCTGTAGGCATCCCCCGGCTGGTGGGGGAACTCCAGGGCTTGGCCAGATCCTGCGTACCCCCCGCTAATGCAGCCCCTCTCTCCCCCACAGTGTGGAGCTGCGGAAGGGGAAGAAGTTTTGCGTGGACCCGGAGGAGGGCTGGTTCCAGAAGTATCGGAAGCAGAAAGAGTCAACCAGAGCCTCCACGTGAAGCTGCCTTCCATATAAACTCTATTTATTTGCATCCCATAATTCTCTGTACGTTCCCGTCTCGTTAAGTCATGGAGCCGGTCTGTGCCCTCCCCTGCCATCGCCCCCTCCACACTACTGTACTTCCCTCGATGGGTTTAATAAAACATCTCGTGCTGACCTGCAGCTGGAGTGAGATGATGTAAATCCGGCAGGAGAAAACAGCGCTCACGTCGGGACTCAGCATCACGGCGGGGACCCGGGAATGGTCCAGGGAGGGCAGGGGAACCCAAAGGGCCGAAGTTGGTGGCCCCAGTTTCCCCCACAAGATGAAGCAGCTGCTGTTGGGGTGTGGGATTTAAGGATGCCCTGGGCAGCTGTGCTCCCGGTGGGATGCGGGTTGAGGTGGGGATAAAGGCAGGCGTGTGCTGGCAATGGGAGGAAGGTTGGGTTTGGGGGGGTTGGGGGGCTTGGGGGGGTTTGGAGGGTTTGGGGAGTTTGGGGGGGTGGTTTGTTTTTTTCCCAGATGGAGCAAGGGCTTATCCAGGGGCGGCTGCAGAAGGAGAGGTGCCTGGAGGTTTAGTGCTGTCCTTCAGCCCCAGCCAGACCCCAGAGACGGGCACACGTGGGGGTGACACTATTTGTGCCGGGGAGGGCTCCAGGTCACCAGGAATCATCTCGTTTCATGGGGGAAATCGTCCTGCAGCCCCTCGTGCCCGTCCACCCACTGCAGGGGCAACAGGGATGGCAAACGAAGGCAACCGGACCATACCAGGCCTGTCACTTATCTCAAACATTTCCTTAAACATAAGAAGAGACTGGAAACATGGATACTTTGGGGGCAGGTTCCCAGCCAACACTGGGAGGATGGAGCAGCCTTCATGCACACAGTTCCTACTAGGGCTCTGGCCACAGAGTTCGGACCCAACTCTGTACCCCTGCTGTGACCACCGCGGCACGGTGAGGAGAATTTGTGGCAAAACTGATCCCAGTGGCACCAGTAGAATCCTCTCCTCCCTCCAGCTCCTGCTCTTAATGCCCTGTCTCCTGACAGGGACGTATTTGCTTTTTTGGGGATAAGCCAGTTAAAATTGGATGAAATTATCCTGCTTGGGAAGAAGAGGGCAAACAGTAACGGCAACAACTTGACAGTCCAGAGGCTGGAGACTGCAGCCAAAACTAAAATCCTGAAAGAGGCGTAAACCAGCTATTCACCCTGGGGACGGGGAGGGTGACGGGGTAGGATTGTGCCCGAGCCTACTGCTCCAGCCCTGGAGCGGGGCGACAGAGTCCAGAACATCCAGTCCTCCATGTCTCTGCAACCTTTCCCGCGTGAGAATTCTGGTTTCGACCATACGACCAGCAAAAGGGACACATGTGAGACCCGCAGTGACTTCGAGCTGAGCACAACCTCGTTCCTACATGATCTTTCCTTCCCTACATGTCCAACCAAGAATCAGCGCAATCAGTGCAGGTCAATGTATGCGCAATGCGTCGTTACGGACCCAACTCTGTACCCTGCGGTGACCGGCGCGGCACGGGGAGAAGCAGAATTTGTGGCAAAACTGGGGCTAAGCTGGGATTTGCCTCCTGGCAGAGGTTTCCTGCCAGCAACAGCGGCGGTGGCTGGGGGTGTC